GCAGAGGGCTCACGTGGGGGTGTGGGGCCATGTGCAGAGGGCTCACGTGGGGGGTCTGGGGCCATGTGCAGAGGGCTCACATGGGGGGTGTGGGGCCGTGTGCAGAGGGCTCACGTGGGGGTGTGGGGCCGTGTGCAGAGGGCTCACGTGGGGGTGTGGGGCCGTGGGCAGAGGACTCACGTGGGGGTGTAGGGCAGTGTGCAGAGGGCTCACGTGGGGGGTGTAGGGCAGTGTGCAGAGGACTCACGTGGGGGTGTGGGGCCGTGCACAGAGGGCTCACGTGGGGGCGTGGGGCCGTGCACAGAGGGCTCACGTGGGGGTGTGGGGCCGTGGGCAGAGGACTCACGTGGGGGTGTGGGGCCGTGCACAGAGGGCTCACGTGGGGGTGTGGGGCCGTGGGCAGAGGGCTCACGTGGGGGGTGTGGGCAGAGGGCTCACATGGGGGCGTGGGGCCATGCACAGAGGGCTCACGTGGGGGGTGTGGGCAGAGGGCTCACTTGGGGGTATGGGGCCGTGCACAGAGGGCTCACATGGGGGGTGTGGACAGAGGGCTCCACGTGGGGGTGTGGGGCCGTGCACAGAGGGCTCACGTGGGGGGTGTGGGCAGAGGGCTCACGTGGGGGCGTGGGGCTGTGGGCAGAGGGCTCACGTGGGGGGGGTGTGGGCAGAGGGCTCACGTGGGAGTGTGGGGCCGTGGGCAGAGGACTCACGTGGGAGTGTGGGGCCATGTGCAGAGGACTCACGTGGGGGTGTGGGGCCGTGTGCAGAGGGCTCACGTGGGGGTGTGGGGCATTGTGCACAGGGCTCACGTGGGGTGTGGGGCCGTGGGCAGAGGGCTCACGTGGGAGTGTGGGGCCGTGGGCAGAGGGCTCACGTGGGAGTGTGGGGCCGTGGGCAGAGGGCTCACGTGGGAGTGTGGGGCCGTGTGCAGAGGGCTCACGTGGGGGTGTGCGGCCGTGGGCAGAGGACTCACGTGGGAGTGTGGGGCCGTGGGCAGAGGACTCACGTGGGGGTGTGGGGCCGTGGGCAGAGGGCTCACGTGGGAGTGTGGGGCCGTGGGCAGAGGACTCACGTGGGAGTGTGGGGCCCTGTGCAGAGGGCTCACGTGGGGGTGTGGGGCCGTGTGCAGAGGGCTCACGTGGGGGGTCTGGGGCCATGCACAGAGGGCTCACGTGGGGGGGGCCGTGTGCAGAGGGCTCACGTGGGGGTGTGGGGCCGTGTGCAGAGGGCTCACGTGGGGGGTGTGGGGCCGTGTGCAGAGGGCTCACGTGGGGGGTGTGGGGCCGTGTGCAGAGGGCTCACGTGGGGGTGTGGGGCTATGTGCAGAGGGCTCACGTGTGGGGTCTGGGGCCGTGTGCAGAGGGCTCACGTGGGGGGTGTGGGCAGTGTGCAGAGGGCTCACGTGGGGGGTGTGGGGCCGTGTGCAGAGGGCTCAGGTGGGGGTGTGGGGCGGTGTGCACAGAGGGCTCACATGGGGGGTGAAAAAACTGGAGTTATAGGGCAGCAATATTCTACAAAAGAATCAGAAGGGAAGAAAAACAAACATTTGAAAGATCTCACAGAAGCTGCCTGGTGCAGCCCGAGTTCACAAGGAAGACCCGTGTCTGGGAGGTGAAACGCATTCCTAAGCCTCAGAGTCAGGCTTTGCCAGCATGGAGCCAGAGTGGGTCACTCCCTGGTGATGAGACAGGAACCTGTGAGGATTTAGGTCTGGGAGCTCGATGTGGCCTCAGGTCCCCTCTGCCGGGTGCGGGAACCGCCCCTACTTCAACGCTTTGATATTCATGGCAAGAAGCCCTCACCTGGGGTCAGTTTAAGGTTTCGACCTAAATAAACTGCCAAATTCATGAATCTTTTCTCCAGGAGACCTACTGAGTCTTTCTCCGAGCCTGACCTTTTCAGAGTTTCTTCACGCACAGAAATTACAGTCCGACCCCAGTGCCCTTAGGCATGCCCAAGCCCAAAACGCTGTCCGGAAAATGGGCCCGGGCTCCTGGCGTCCAGCTACAAAAAGGACGAACAGCATCTGCACGTTTTGGGTCATTACCCTATTCACTGCTCTCCTCTGCGTTGTCTACAAGGAAAACTTTTTTTTTTTTTTTTTTTGAGACAGAGTCTCACTTTCTTGCCCAGGCTAGAGTGAGTGCCGTGGCATCAGCCTAGCTCACAGCAACCTCAGACTCCTGGGCTCAAGCGATCCTCCTGCCTCAGCCTCCCGAGTGGCTGGGACTACAGGCATGCGCCACCATGCCCGGCTCATTTTTTCTCTACATATTTGTTGGCCAATCAATTTCTTTCTATCTATAGTAGAGACGGGGTCTCGCTCTTGCTCAGGCTGGTTTCAAACTCCTGACCTTGAGCAATCCGCCCGCCTCGGCCTCCCAGACTGCTAGGATTACAGGCGAGAGCCACCTCGCCCGGCCCGTTTTTGCCTTTGTTGCCTGTGCTTTCGGGGCGGTATCCCAAAAATTATTGCTAAGACCAATGTCAAGGAGATTTTCCTCTATCTTTTTCTCTAGGAGTTTTATGGTTTCAGGTGTTAAATTTAAGTCTTTCATCCATTTGGGTGGGCAACCTGGGGCCTTCGATTTTAATAAAATCTTTTTGTTTTTGTTAATACGTTTTCGTTCATCTTTTATATTTTCGTTTTATTTTGAAAACCAATCTAGGATTTGTTCTGTAGAATTTGAATTCTACAGAAGGCTGTGCTTGAGGAGCTAGGAGGTCACATGTTTTGTTTGGTGGTTCTGCGTTCTATTCCCATTGGCCCTAAATAGCTGTTTTCATGCCAGTACCATACTGTTGTGATTACTACAGCTTTGTGATATTAATACATTTTGAAATCAAGACTCTCTGACGTGGCCTCCAGGAAGGGTGCCCGGGGGCTTTGAGTGATGGGCCCTGACAGCTTTCGGAGCAGGGCTGGAGGTGGTGGTCCCAGACACATTCTACTTACTGCCTGATTTGGGGACCCCATGACATTATTTCAGTTGAATTCTCTGGAGGCAGGTTGTTTTCTTCTCTAAACACAGACCGGCTGGTTATCAGTGTGAATTGTTTGCTTCTCCTCAGCTTTTTAATCACATATTACTAGGGAAAAGGAGATGGGCATAGTAGCCCGAATGGCTTCATGGTAGAGGATGCTGACTCCCATCAGACAGAGACTAGGGTTCCCCTTCTGGCCCAGCCACTTCCTGGCTGTGTTGCCTTGGTGAAGTGAACTGACCTCTCTGAGCCTCTGTCTGCAAATGGGGAAAGCTCATAATGACAACGCCTGCTTCGTGGCGTGGTACATGTCGCCTTGCTGGCACTTAGCCAATGCCCAATAAACGCTAGATAGTATCATGTTCTTCCATCATTCAGTGGGAGTCTGCAAAGGCAGGTAGGTGGGTGGGTCGGAGTGGATCTAAAGCCTGCAGTGGTGGGTCACTGCGCGCCCGCGCTCAGCGGCTCCACGTGCAGCCAGAGGCCGCCCTCGGCGTGCAGGATAATTTCCGGCTTCCTGCGCGGCTCTGTGTGGTCGGGCAGGACGCGGAAGCGCAGCAGGGTGAGCGCCAGGACCACCTTCATCTCGGTCATGGCGAAGTTCTGCCCGATGCAGTTCCTGGGGGCGGGAGTGGGGGGTGGGGACTCTGACTGCAGCCAGGGACCCCCAACCGGGCCCCATCGCACCTGGAACCTGGCCCGGGACCCCCACCCTCACCCCAGGAGCCTGGAGGGCAGAGGGGGTATAGCCGTGCCTGGGAGCCCCCTGTGGGCTCCTAGTGCCCCCTGAACCTGGCCCGGTTCCAGCCCCAGCTCAGACCAGCAGACATGGGGGGGTTCTGAGCATACCCCTTTTCCAAGGATCTTGTTCAAATCTCTGCCCTCCCCCCTCCCCAAACAGCCACCCCACAATTCTGACACTAGGGGTGGAGGATGTGACGAAATTGCCTCCTATACTCTCACCACCCTCGTCCGGTCTCCGCCTCGGACCCCCCGAGGGCCTCACCTGGGTCCCGCCGAGAAGGGAATAAACGCCAGAGGAGACCTCTCCTGGGAATTTTCTGGGTCGAAGCGGAAGGGGTCATACACCTGGGGACCCGGGAAGACAGGGCTGCTGGATGGGGAGTCTCAGGACACCCAGCCTCCCCCAGGAAAGACAGATGTGGGCACAGTAGAGGGGGTGTCTGTGTCCCCAGTCAGGACCCCTCCCCGTCACCAGGCCCCAGGGGGGAGAAGGGGGGAGGGGCAGCACCTCAGGGTTGGACCAGACTGACGGGTTGTGATGAATCCCAAAGATGCTGATGGCACAGGCGTTCCCTGTCGGGAGGAGGGGACAGTCAGGACAAGGTCCAAGCCACCTGAAGGGACCACCTCCCCACCCAGGAGCCGCCTCCCCCTGCCACCGTGGGCACCTTTGGGGATGACCCGGCCATCGGGGAGCACAATGTCCTGGGCACAGTAGCGGGAGATGGTCGGGCTTGGGGGGTGCAGCCGCAGACTCTCCTTGATGCACATGGTGAGGAAGGACAGCTGGGCCAGGTCCTCCCTAAGGAGCACCCCCAGCGGTCATCCAAGGAGCCAAGACACTCCTACTGATGCCCTGTGACTCCCTCTCACCATCTTTCTTTGACCCTTAGACCTGTGACAAAATACACTCCAGATGAATCCAAGATTTAAGCACCAGAAAATCAGAGTCACAAAGTGCTAGAAGAAAACTTGGCCTTTAGTTTTAGAAGCATCTATGAGAAAAACGTCACACTCAGAGGGTAGCCTTAAAAGTGTGAATACATTGGCATGAAAAGGTTTCTTAAATTATATAATGAGCTAACAACACAGCAGGGAGGGGGGAAAATCTCCATAAAGGTCCTATAAGGTTATTTGAATAAACAAGATTCACTTCACACTGTACAGCAAGGTGATATAATATAAAGGTGTCAATTCTTTCTAAAGTAACCAATATATTCAATGCCACCTAATTAAAAATCTAACTGGGTTTTTTTGGAAGTCGACAATCGTATTGTAATCGGAAGAGTTGATGTTGATCGAGAGCTAGATCAATCTAGAAAGGAAAGATAGAAGAAAGAAACTCAACCTACCTGGTATTAAGACCTGTTACAAAGGCATAGTGATACTAATGAAATAAAAAAATTTTTAAAGCCGGGGTCTGCTGCATGAACAGGAAAACAGACACATGGAACAGAGAGCTCAAAGTCAGGCACATAGATAGGTGAGTAGCTGGCACCTGGTCAGGGAATGTCCACACAACCCTGGGCAATGGATAGGTACTTTGGGAAGAGGTGTTCAAACATTGGTAATGTGGAAACAGAAAGAGCCAGACCCTCATCTACGAGGACTCTCTTCTTATACAAGAAAAGGCAAAACTGTGCAGTTAAAAGTTGATAACAGAAGAGACATTTTTGTGATCTCAGAGCAGGAATTCTTAAAACCCAAAAGCACAAAATGGGAGATCAAGAAAGGAGAAATAAATGTGTATCACAAAAATAAGAATTTCTGTGTAACAAAGGACACCATGGATGGAGTCAACACCCCAACAAGAGGTTTGGAGAAGATGTCCACAATAAACATGCAGAGCTAAGACCATGTCTAGATCTGATCTTGAAACAGGTAAGGTATTCCTGAGAATCAACAAGAGAAAGGACAAGTCACCAGAGGGGAAAAGCCGGCAAAGGATAAGATCTAAGAATTCAAGGAGGCTCAAACACAGGAGATTTAAGAAGGGATGCTCAAAGTCACTGGTTATCAGAGAAGATGAAATTATCTGACAATGAGATGTCACTTCGCTTCTAGACAAGAATTAGCAAGGTAGCTAAGGCTAAGGGTCGGCTAAGGTTTGGGGGAGAGTGGCCTTATGCCCTGACAATGGTGTGGACAGGGGCTGCCATTCTGAGTGACAACTGCCAGTATATGGTCAAGGAAACGCCATGCATGTTTTACCGCCCAGCAAACTGGCTCCCAAGTATATATCCCAGAGAGATGCTCGGACAGGCAGATAAAGAGACATCTTCGAAGGTGTTCGTTGTACCGGAGAGACGGAAGCAGCCTGGGTATCTAGCACTAAGGGATGAGAGAGGAAAGGACTATATATGATGGTTAAAAGCAACAAACTAAGTATCCTCAGAAGCATGGGCGGCCAATCAAACCACAGCGCTGCGTTTCTGAGAAAGGCAAGAACCAGCGCAAGATCTGGTATGTAAGAACGTATTTGCGATTTTAAAATATATCCACTCCAACAAGAAATTTTATGAATTCCATAGAATTCTAGAGAGACCCATCTCTCTAGAATCATATTGGTGGAGGGCTTGGAAGTGAGGAATGGGGATAAATGGGAAGAAATAAGTATTGCATGGAAAAAGCAGGAGAACTGGCCGTAATGGAAGAGCATGGTTAACCCAAACCTTGGCATCTGAGGTCCCAAACAGAGGGGACAGTTTGGGACCTCAGAAAAATAATCTTTCACCCACTAAGATTATTGATTAAAATTTCCAAGAGTATTTTCCAAACTAGCCAACCTGAGTGTAAAGTTCAAATGGAAAAATAAGAACTCAAAAAAAAAAAAAAAAGAAATTATAAAAACAAAGTAATGGGACAGAACCAACTGTATCAAATGGGAAAGTATTTTAAAAACATGATACTGAAGACTTCTTTGCATTTACATGTGGCTAACAAATAAATGAAAAAAGAACGAGAGTCTGGAAATAAAGCCAAAGGAAAACGTCATTTTAGCTTGTTGTGAAGCTGCTATTGTTTAAAATCATAAGACGAGTACAAACTTGTCATTTGATTTTGTTGGGACAATTAGCCATTTGAAGGGGGAAAAAAAAAAAAGAGAGATTCCTACCTCAGTATCTACACTGACACACATCAGGTTAAAGTCCAATCTCCTTACGTGGTTTCCAAAGCATCCCCAGAGAAGACGGGCTTCCATCACCAGCCCCAGCCCCACCGGGTCCCTCCCTGTACCCCACGGCGTGCATTTCACAAGGATTCAAACACCTTTACTGCTTCTCATCCCCCAGACACGCCTGGTGCACGCCCCCATCCTGTCCCCTAGGGTGGAAGCGCTGGCCGGTCCCCACGCCCAACACGCTGAGTTTCCCTCCCCAGCCTCGCCTTCCTTTTCCTTCTGCCCCGGCTTCACCCTTGCAGGATGGGGCCCGAGTCAGAAAAGGGAAGGCAGTGTGGAAGTGTTTACTGAACGAAGAGACAGACGACGTTTACCCACTAAGATTATTGCAAATCAGTGAAATAGACTGCAAGGTGTGAAGTAGAGAAGGGGGAGCAAAAATTAAGGAGGCTGAAAGTCTTGGGGAAACGCAACTTTAGCCAGAAAAGCAAGTGCGTGGAGGAGAAGCTTGTTGACTGCATGTATGCTGGGAGGCATCTGCTCTACGCACATGGTCACTCATTCTCCAAGCAGCCCTGCGGGGTAGAAATTCCTCCACATTCACAGAGGAGAAAGTGGTTCAGAAGAGAATATTACTTTACTAATGTCACATAGCAAGTTGTTGGGGCAATAAATATGGACTCCCAGAACTTTCTGCCCCAAAGCCTGAAACCTTTCCCTTGCTGGCCAGGATGGGTACCAGGCCCTCCTTCTGGGCTCTGCTCCTATTGCCAATAGGCATTAATGGCAGAACCAGGATAAAGATCTCCCCCTTCCCCGCCCGGCAGCAGAGCCAAGGAGAGGGGCTCGGGGACAGGCCGTGAGGACCCGCACTCACCACTCAATCTCTTCAGGCTCACGGCCCCTCAGCAGCTCCCGCACCTCCTGCCGGCAGCGCTCCTGGTGCTCCGGGTGCCTCGCCAGGTTGTACAGGACCCAGGAGAGACCACTGGTGGTGGTGTCATGGCCTGAGGGGCAGCCAGGCAGGCTGGAGTCTCTGGGCTGCTTCAGCACCAGGGTGTGGACAGCGCCACCCATGGGGGCTCTCAGGGAGGATGGGAGAAGGGCGGGGATGGGCAGAATGGAGGGATCCAGCTCCACCCATCCAGTCCCTGGGCTGGAGAGACCCCCGTCCCCACTGCAGTCCCACACCGGGACCCTTACCGGCAAACATGAAGATGTCAGCCTCTGCTCGTATGTCTTCGTCTGACAGCTCCTTCCCGTCTTCATCCTGGAGACAGGAGGCAAAACCCCCGGGTCACACCTGCTCTGAGGGCACCTGAGTCCCACCGGAAACATCCCTGAAGACCCATCGTCCAAGCAGGATGCCGCCCTTGCCATCTCCAGACCTGCCACACGGGCTTCCTCCCTGGCCTCCTGCCTCCCACTTGCTCTCCCCAGGCAGCAAACGGGAGTCACCTCAAAAACTTACCTCTAATTTGTCCCTCCCTTCCTCACGTGCCTCCCATAGCTCCCCAGTGCCCTCTGAATCAAGCTGCAATTGTTGGAGCTGACGTTTGACATCAAGGCCTGGTCTGCCTCATGAATCCGGGTCCCAGAGAGGCCCACCTTGGCCAGCAGGAGCACATCGATGAAGTCCAACGTCTTGGACTTGGCCTTGGCTTTGAGGAAGCCGTCCACACCCTGGCTTTCGAGGGCGCGGCGCCGCTCGCGGACCACGGCGTCCGTGAAGCCGTGCACCAGGGCGCAGGCCCTGCGGAAGCGCCGCCCCTCGGGCGTGAGGTGGTACAGGAGGTCCGCGTGCAAGAGGATCTGCTTGTACCGTTTTAACGTGAGCGTGCTGAGCTCCAAGCTAGCAGCAATGTACTCGCTGGGACGCCTGCAGGGCCAGGTCAGAGAGAGGAGGAGGCGGCTCCTTAACACACACGAAACCCTGGGATCACCTCCCAGTCGCTATCCCGAGAACCCCGTCCCACCCGAAAACACGAGCCCTGCGTGCCCACTTCTCTCTCCGCCTCCCACTCTCTGTGAGCTGCCTCGTGCTCCAGGTCCCCGGCCACAACTCGGGCACCATCATGCTCATTTTCTCTCCTTCTTACTCCAAACACACATGGTCCCGCCCATTCTTCCTCAGTCTCTCTCCCAGATCCGCCCCCCCCATTCTCTCCACCAAGCCGAGACCTCCTCCTGTCCAGGACTCTCTCCACTCTGTCTCTGCATGACAGTCGATCCGCTAGCAGCGGTCCTCAAACTACGGCCCGCGGGCCACACGCGGCCCCGCCGAGGACATTTATCCGGCCCGCCAGGAGTTGTTGCTGCCGCCGCTGCCTGTCCTGCTTAGCAGCCGGCTGGTCCCGGGCCCGCAGTGCGCACGTGTGGAATGTGCGCCGCGCTCTCCAACGGTCTGAGGGACAGTGAGCCGGCCCCCTGTTTAAAACGTTTGAGGAACCCCACACAGAGTCAGGCGTCCAAGCTCAGCTCTGACCATGACTGTCATCTGCGCCAGGGCTCCCTGGAAAACTTGGAAAAAGTTCGTATCCTTTTGCCAGGCTTTTCAACGTCCTTGGGATCTAGCCATTGCCTACATCCTCCAAACTCATTTGCAAGGTGCCCCCTTAATGCCTGCTGCACATGCTCTGCTTGCCCTAGTCTTCTTGCCTTCACACCACAGTCCCACCTCCCTGGAAGAACCGCTCATTCTCTCTCCTCTTCAGGGTCCTTCCATGCCCAGTTCTGGCCCACGTCCCCGGGGGAAGGTTCTTTCGGTTGTTCTGACCAGTCTTCTTTTCCCCCCTCTACTCCCAAGTCCCCACGCCCCGGGCAAGGACTCACTCCTGGCAATGGCTGTCGAAGCTGAAGACGCATTTCTGCAGACTGTCCAAGGTCATGAGGCTGATGTGCTCGAACATGTCCAGACGGGCGCTGCCCTCCGAGGCCAGGCGCTGCCACTTGGCCTGGCCAGAGAAGGGCACAGAGCTGGGGTTTGGCACCTGACTCCCTTGGGCCCCTCCCCAACCCCAACCACCAGGATGGACTCCCCCAGAACCAGCCTCCTGGCCACTGCCACTTGCACCTGTCCCCAGGAAGGCCCAGAGTCAGGTGGGAGAGGAAGTTGTTACTCTTAGGAGATGAAGACCGCAAGGCTGGGAGTCAGGAGACCGGAACTCAGGTTCCAGCCCTGCCTCCCGTGCTCTGAGCGCCTTTAGTCAACTCATTGCCCCGTCCCACCTACTCGCATCTTCAGTACAAGTTGACTTGACCTGCTTTGTTGCCGGGTAAAGCAACCCCTGCTCCACCACTCCTGGCTCACTTACTAGCTGGGTGACCTTGGGCAAGCTCCCTGACCTCTCTGGCCCTCAGTTTCCTCATCCAGCATGTGGCCATGACAGTCGTCTCTACCTCCTAGGGCTGTGAAGATTAGATCGGAGACGACGTGTCTCGTGGAATCGGCATGGTTTTCTGGCATGCAGTAAGTGCTCAGTAAAAGTTAGCTCTCATCATCATCTTCCACTTTAGCATAGCAGCAGGTGATGGCAGAAATGTCCCCCATTTTTCGTCCCTCCCTGTATCCTCAGCCTTTTGCGAAGAGACTGTGCACCTCCTTCCATTAGGAGGCAGGACCTATTTCTCCACCTCTCGGACCCCAGCTGGCCTTGGGACCTGCTCCAGCCGGTAACGGGAGGTGGCGTCATGGCGTTCCGATTCTGAGTGTTTCCGTGCAGTCTCTGCAACCCACGAGCGAGCTTAGGTTAGGCTGCTGGAGTGCGGAGAACGAACGCAGGAGTCCGGGCGGCCCGCCAAAGCCAGCCTAGGCCAGCCTGCAGCCAGCCCCACACCTGAGACAGAGCTGAGCTCGGGCCCGCAGAGCATTCCTCCAGACCCACGCGTGACCGCAGACGTAGGAGGGAGGCCAGCTGGGACGAGACAGTGGCCTGTGCTTCCTGCCCTTTCATGATCAACAACAAACACTCATCCTTTCAAGCCAGTGAGGCTTAAAGTGTTTTAACACCTTTCGGGCCACTCACGAGCTTTCTCAAATCTGTCCAGCCCTTCCCCTGGGGGTGCAAGGAGAGCACCTCATAAAGATCCACCCAAGAGAGGTCGTCAGGTGATATGAAGCAGCATGGACCTACGTGTATTCCGGAGAGTGGAAAGAAAAAATTTCCTACGAGCGCCTGCAGAGTTTGCGCCGCCCGTGGAAAAAGGAGCGAATCTGGATACTTATGTAAACTTTGTTTGCTCCCTCTTCATAGAGGAAAATGCTTTACGCAGTACCACACGTTCAAAAAGTACTAGGAACTTTAATTGTTTAATTAGTTGTTTAATTGTTTTTGTGACAACACCCAAAGTGCATTACGATCTGTAGTTACGATGATTTAAATAACGTGCAGTTTGCCCAAAAAACGTGCAGTCCCTGGCGTTTGTCTTAGAGATTTCTATTTGGTCCAAAAGGTGTTTTAAGAGCTTTAAAGTTGTGCATAAAGAATTGCTTTGCACGTTTCATCATTATCGTCCACACTCAACAGCCCGCAGGGCTTCCGTGAGAAATGCAGAAAACGGATGCCTTCCGGGCACCTGCCACGTGCCAGGGACATGACTCCATTCATCTTAGCTACCCTTCACGGGGGGGGGGGGGGGATGGGCATACACATCCATTAGGAATGGGGTGGGTGCGCACCGACTGGGGGATTGCTATGTCCATTTTTACAAATGGGGAAACTGAGGCTGGGGGAGGACAAGCTACGGCTCCCGAATCACCCGTCACATCTAGACCAGGTCTCTCTGAGGCACCTCTGCACCCAAGGCTCCAGCTGGGACGCTGGGTTTAAGGGACTCACGAGCATGATGCTCACGCTCCCGTTGAAAATCTTCACGTAGGGCTTCAGGATGTTGAAGTGGAAGGCGGGCGTCAGCATGCGGCGGTGGCGGCTCCACTTGTCACCGGCGCTCAGCAGGAGCCCGTCCCCTAGGAGGGCAGCCAAGGGCCGTGGGCGAAGGCAGCGCCTTCTCCTGCCCACCAGGCTGTCCCCACCCCTCCTTCACCTGCAGCTACTCACCCAGCCAGGGCTTCAGGAGCTTGCTGAAGACCATGTCCTTGGGCCTGATGGAGTCTGGCAGAAGAAACAGACCCTCAGGAGCCATGGAAAGGAGCAGGAGGGAAGTTGAGCAGTGAGGGGTGGGCTCCCAACCCGGGGCTTCCCTTCCTCATCCTGCCCGGCATAGAAAGAAGGAGGCCGGTGGTGTCCGGAACACGAGGGCAGAGGAGTGATGCTGAGGCTGGGGCTGGGGGGTACATGCAGGGAAGAGGAAGGTGGCTGAAGGAGCAGAAGGAGGGAGGGATCCGGGTCCTGCAGGGGCCACACAGCAGCTTGGAGCAGGAGGGGCTGGAAGCCCTTGGACACCCACGACCACGAGCCCCGCAGGGTACCTGAGGCATTCAGGACACACCGGATGAAGTCAGGGTGGCACAGAGTGACAATGGGGAGGACAGGGCCCAGCCACTTTACAAAGACCTGGGGGTAGGTGGCCACCAGCTCAGTCACTTCCCGCATGCTCTGCTCCGAGTTCATGACCTGCAAGCAAGGCAGGGCCGTCACCTCCTCTGATGGTTAGTGTCAGGTGCCCGCGTGACTGGGCTAAGGGTTGCCCCGATAGCTGGCGAACATTTTTCTGGGTGTGTCAGCCAGGGTGTTTCCATAGAGATTAGCATTTGGATGGGTAAACTGAGGAAGGAAGATCCTCCCTCCGCAGCGCCGGCAGGCACCAGCCAAGCCACTGAGGGCCCAGAGAGAACAGAAAGGCGGAGGAGGGAGCGCGGCTCTGTCTTCCGGAGCTGGGACATCCTCCTTCTCCGCCCCTGGACGTCGGAATGCCAGCTGCTCTGGCTGCCAGACTCTGGGACTTATGCCAGCAGCCTGGTGTGGGCTCTCCGTGAATCAGCTTCCTTGGTTTTCCCGTTTGCGCCCAGCGAACCACAGGACTTCTCAGCCCTCAAAATCACCCGAGCCAATTTCCCCAATAAACTCCCTCTTGTCTCTGTGCACCTGTGTCTATATGTATATGTCGTGTTGACTCTGCAGGACTGTGACTAATACGCTAGCCCGAGAGGAGCCACCGCAGGTGCCCCCTGCAGCCTCCAGCGGTGGGGTGGCCCCCGCAGGGCCTGGCGTGTCCGGATTCCACACAGGGGGAGAGGATCTCTGCTTCCTCCTGCTCCTTGCCTATGGGGACTGTCTCAAAGCCCCAAGCGTGCGTCCCAGCGCCCGGCTCCAATGGGGAAGGCGCCTCCTCTCATCTTGGGAGGGGTTCCAGGCCCCGGGGGCAGCCACCGAACCAGGTCCCCAAAGGGCAGCACTGTGACTCAGGACTTCGGCATCAGGGCTGGCTTCCTACACCCTCCCAGGTGACAGCCACTGGGCTCCCGGTCCCTCCAACCAAGAAGGAAGCGTCTGCGGACCTGGGGTCTTTTTCCTGCCAGCCTTGGGGGCGTGGGAGACCGTGGGCTGGGCTTTCGCCTGGCCTCGGCCAAGCCCACGGACAGCTCCGAAACACCGATCACACCACGAGGACGTGACTCAGCTGGAGACTGTCCTCCGCCTGAGGTCACGCGGGGGGCTCCGGACCGTGACCAGGACAACAAGGATGTGGGCTCAGCTACCGCCTGGCTGCTGCCTGCTGCCCTGGGGAGCCCCCGAGGCACCTCCCCTCCCCTCCAGCTGTGCTCTGTCCTGGTCACTCCTTGCACCTGATTCTCTTTTGTTGCTCAAGAGCCAGCTGCTCGCTCTCCAGCCCACCTCCACCCCCGGCCCTGGGGACGTCCCCCGCCCTGACCCCCAGCCCCGTCCTGCTGCCACACTCACCAGGCCCTGGTGACCCCAGAACCAGCTGCGTTTGGGGGGCTGCGGGAAGCAGTGGAGGCGGCGGCAGGTGGCGTGGAAGGCGCAGGCCCAGGCCAGGACGCGGGCCAGGAGCCAGGAGGCCCCGAGCAGCAGCAGCAGCAGCCACGGGGAGGCGGCCGCCGGCCCCAGGCCCAGCCAGGACAGGCTCAGCTGGGGCATCCTGCAGGGCAGGCGGGTGCAGGGGCAGCTCCTGAGGCCCAGGGGAGGGAAGGGGCGCCAGGCCCGGTGCAGGGGGCGGGGGCGGGGGAGGGCTCAGAGATGGGGACGCAGGGGCTGAGAGCAGGAGGGACACCCAGGGTCAACTGGGGCAGAGGCAGAGGCAGGGGACAGAGAGACACACAGTCAGGAGTGTCTTCTCCCCCTAGAATCTCCTCTCCCTTCCTGCTGGCACTTCTAGGCCCCTGGTCTGTCTTATACCCTGGACACAGCGGAGACGGGCTGAGCCAGGCCACCCAGTCCCACCTCGGCCCTGCCTAGCAGCCAACCAAAGACAAAAGGCCTGGCTCAAGGCGTGCAAAGAGCCCGAGGCGCGGTATCCGGGTGAAGTTGGATGGGAACCAGGCTCCCATGACTCTGCAGTGCTGAATCTACAACTCGAACCCTCAGTTTTGGGGGCTGGAATCGAGGAGAAAATTCTCCACCTGCCAAGGCTGCTTCTACCACCTGTGTGTTCGCTGAGCACCTGCTGTGTGCTTGCCTATCCCAGGCTCCGGGCATGCAGCATCCAAGTCCCCGGTGTCCAGGAGGAGCGTCTAGGCCAGGCGTGGTGGCTCACACATGTAACCCAGCACTCTAGGAGGCCGAGGCGAGCGGGTCACTCAAGGTCAGGATTTCAAAACCAGCCTGAGCAAGAGCAAGACTGCATCTCTACCGAAAATAGAAAGAAAGTAATTGGCCAATTAAAAATATATAGACAAAATTAGCGGGCATGGGTGGCGCATGCTGTAGTCCCCAGCGTACTGAGGAGGCTGAGGCAGAGAGATTCGTCTGAGCAGGAGTGTGGAGGTTGCTGTGAGCGAGGCTGGATGCAGCAGCACTCACTCTAGCCGTGTGGGCAACAGAGTGAGGCTCTGTCTCAAACAAAAAAAAACATAAGGGAGGAACGGTCTCGTGAGAAACATGGCCGCACGCCACGTAGAGGAGATCAGAAGAACGAAAACTAGTGAAGCTTCACTCCGTGGGAGAAGGACAGATATAGGCGGAGATAGCTCAAAGGCTGGATACAGAAGTAGATCGTACTCATTTGATCCAGGCGAACTTCCGACTTACTGGGATTCTCACCCAAAGATCAAAATCACTTTATGAAAAAGGACACCGGCACGTGGGAATGGTGTTTTCACAGCAGCACATTACCAATTGCAGAAGCTTGTGGAAACAACCCGAGTGCCCCATCCACATCATGAGTGGATTAATAAAATGTGGTATATGTACACCATGTGCAAGTAGCTACCCTCAGTGTGTTAAGAGAACATTGAGACATAGCAGCCCTTGTGTTTTTTCTGTGATAGAGGCTGAGAACCCATTCTACTAAGTGAAGCAGTGCTCAAGATGGAGAAACAAGCACCTACATGACACTGCGTGTGGTAGAGTTTTATTAAGGAATCAAGCCATAAATGGTGCATTATTAGGCAGTGTAATGCATGATCGTTGTCGGCAGCCGTGGGAGGCGAGGTACGGGATGGGTGTATACACCACGGGAGTGAGATGTGCAACATTTGGGGGATGGACACGCTTGAGATGCTCTTACTCGAGGGGGGAGGGGGGCATGGTCATATAAATGTAACTTAACATTTACCGCGAGCGGGGTAAAATGAGTTGAATAAAGAATAAATGAAATAATATAAAGTAGGATAAAAAAAGAACACGCCAGTGAGAGAGACAGAAGGGCTTCCCGGAGGAGGCGGCCTTGAGTGGGAGCCAAAAGAAGAGGGGTGAGGGCCGTGTGATGGAAAGGGCCTCCTTGATCTCGGGGTGACGTGCCCAGCGCTGTGCACCAGCCGGTGTGCCCTTGCTCCTTGCACACCCGTGCCCCCATGGCCGTTGCTGTCCTTGGACAAACGAGCCCAGGAAGAAAAACTCGGCCCACTATTCAATCCAGAAGCAGGTACCAGAGATTCCTTCAGACCCCAGCAGGCCTGTGCAGCCAGGGCAAGGGCAGGGGAGGGGCCCACGGGGTGGATCCCAGACCAGGGGCAGGAGGCAGAAAGCGCCCGGCTCGGGAAGCAGGAAGTCTCGGGCAGGGGTTTTCCAGGCTCAGGAAGCTGGAGTCTCTCCCGTGGTTTCTCACCCAACGAGGAACTGCTCAGCGGCCAAATCACACATCCTGCCTGGTGGCTCGTCCCCAGCGAGTGCCGTGGGGAGGGGTCACCCTAGGGAGGACGGAGGCTGGTGCTTCTCCCCAAGGGCCCTCCCGGCCCAGCCGAAGGCGGGCAGTGGGCCAGTGAGTCCGACCAGCAGTGGAGGCCACTCTGTGTGTGAGCGGCCTCAGACAGGTTTGCCGGCCTTGGTATTCACATCTGTGAAATGGGCCTGATGGGCCCCTCACAGGGCTCTGCAAGTGTTGCACAGCAGACAAACCAGAGGGCGCAGGGAAAAGCAAATTTCAAATGATGTGCGTGAGTGACGCCGCACCTCTGTGTACAACGTGTCGGTGCCTGCGTGTGTTCGAGTGCGCACATTTGTATGTGCAGTTAGAACATTCCGGAAGGATTCACACGTCGAATTGGAACGGAGGGACGCAGAATTGGAGTGCAGACACTTCATCCCCTACACCAGGCGTCCTCAAACTGCGGCCCCGCGGGCCACACTTGGCCCCGCCCAGGACATTTATCCTGCCTGGCCGCCCGCCAGGTGTTGCTGCCGCTGCTGCCTGTCCTGCTTAGCAGCCTGGCCCGTCCTGGGCCGGAAGTGCACACCTGTGGAGTGTGCACCGCTCTCTCCAACGGTCTGAGGGACAGTGAGCCGGCCCCCTGTTTAAAAAGTTTGAGGACCCCTGTGCTACAGGAAGTCCCCGTTGCTTCGTTTTCACACTGAGCTGCTATAAATTTAAACGTTAAAACAAATCAAAACATCGAATTCTGTGTCACCAAGAAGACACACCTCCCAGGAGTCAGCCTGGAGCCTCTCTAGGACAAGCGTGCGGGGGGCACACTGCCCGCGGTCCCACATTTCCTCCCCTCCAACGTCAGGGAGGAGCAAGTCCCTCCGGATTCAGCAGCACTGAGTTCAAATCCATGCTCTGCCCCTCGCCGGCTGTGTGTCCCTGGGTAAGTCGCCTGCCCTCTCTGAGCCTCAAATCCTCCCGGGTAAAACGCACACTGACTCTGCACTGCTCCCCAGCAGCGAGGTTTACCTGAGCACCTACGCGGCGCCAGGCACCGCACGAGCTGGGGCCCCGGCATGAGACCCGGAAGACAGACGAGGTCTCTGCCACCCCGGTGCTCAGGCCCGACGGGGGAGACAAAAAGTGTGCGAGGCCAAGTCAGATGGCGGGGGGCCTCAGAAGAACTGACCAGAGCAACACAAGCCGGAAAGTGACAGAGACAGTTCTGGACGCAGCGGCCAGGGAGGGACCCTCCGAGAGACCAAACGCGAGTGACACGGAAAGGGGCCGCGCGTGGGAACCACCCCCGGAAGCCGTGCCCAGAGCGTGCAGACCCGGCACGGGGCCAAGGTGGGACGATGGGAAGAGTGTGTCTGCGGTTCTTCTCCTTCCATTCTTGCTGAACTAAACAGTTCGGGCACTCTGCGCTGCCGCCGTGGGAAGCAGGAACCGGCCTTGCTGCCACCCACAGCGGCGACGAGCCCGGCCGGCGGTCCAGCTGGGAGCGGTGGCTGCGCTCCACGTCCTGGCATGCAGACCCGAGCTGTCACCCAGCCCCACCCCAGCCCACCCAGCCAGCCACACCCACCAGCCACCAGCCCAGCCAGCAGCCCGCCACCCCAGCCCCAGCCAGCACCCCACCCAGCCCAACAGCACGCAGCCCAGCCAGCAGCCCACACAGCCCACCCAGCACACCCACCCCACACAGCACCCCGAGCACCACCACAGCCAGCCCCAGCACACCATCCACCACAGCACCACTCCCAGTCCAGCCAGCAGCCACCTGCCCCATCCAGCCCAACACACCTACTCCAGAAGCCCCCTGCATCCCCCAGACCTACCACCCACCAACCAGCCACTACGCCCAGCAAGCCCCCCAGAAAGGGACGGGGTGGGGTCCACAGAGACCGTCCCTGGGGAGGGGGAAAGGTTTTTCCATCAAAACCAGGAAGGAGACACCAAGACCATCCCTAGAAGGGAGCAGAGGCCAGGCGTGGGGGCACACTCCTACAGTCCCAGCTCTCTGGAGGCTGAGGCGGAAGGATCCCTTGAGCCCAGGAATTTGCATCCAGCTGGGACAATACAGGAAGATCCTGTCTTAGTTTTTTTTTTAAAAAGAAGGACAGAGGACTGTGGGTAGGAGGCCGGGCGAGAGGAGGGGGGCCGAGAGTTGCTCCTCATCCCGGTGTCTGCAGGACCACGGAGGAGACCACCCGGCGGACGCAAACCGAGCCCTCTGCAGGGGAGCCGCTCGGGCCTGCGCCCACCTTGGGCTGAGCCGCTGCACGAGCGCGCACCTGCTGCTGCCCCTGCCGCCAGGTCGGGAGGTGGCGCTTCGGTCCCTGGGCACATCCAGAGGAGCCCAGAGGGGACAGGGGACTGAGGTCTGTCCTCTGCCGTCCTCGTGCAGGTGCCCTCACTCCGTCTGGGTCCCAGGACCGTCTGCTGCCTGCCCCCCCCCCCGCATGGTGACACTGCGGTGACGCTGCCACAGGGTGCCGATCCCTCCCTCCCTCCCTCGCGGTCCCCTGGCCCTGCCCACGCCTCGGAAGTGGCCTCCACTGAAGCCCCCTCTTTAGCCCATTTGCGGACCCTGCCGGGAGCCAAATGCCACATTCCCCCAGGGGACGGGACCCCCGCAAATCGGTCACTCGGGCGCAAATCGGTCACTCGGGCACTGATGTTTGTGTAGGAACATAGGAAAAACCTCACCCAAATGTTGCAATGGAAGGAGGAGCGGAAAGTAGAATTTTTTTCATCAGTGACTACACTTACCAATTGCTTCTTTTTCTCGTGTGAAAGCTGTTTGGTGTTTTTAGTTTAACTACTAACCTACACAGTCCTAAACCGCAGTTGTTTTTTTTTTTTTT